TCTTTCATGGATACTAAAGAGATTAAAACCAAACAGGAACCACTTCAGGTTACTAATAATGCTAGCTGCCGACTCTCCTCGTAAAAAAGGGTGGTGTCCTCGGTGCTGTCCTTGGTATCTTTCATGACAATGCTCCAATGTAATGGAAGAAAAATCTTCCCATCTGACACAAGGGGACAAAAGCCATCATGACAGAAAGATCTTGGTACGCACACCAACCTAACTACCTTATCTGGAGAAAGATCAGAATTGTCCCATACCATAAGAATGTTATGTTGTAAAGTTCTAGAGTGAAACTGAGCAAATGGAACTCAAACATGGGTACTATAAATCCCAGCACTCACATTCAGCTCTACAAGGAAAACTGACAACCGGATAAAAGTAGCCAAAAACTACCCCAAAATGTCAACAATTTCTGTGGAAGGAAGACCATAGCTTGAAAGATATCCAAGAGAGGTCCCAAGTATTCCAAGCGATGCAACAAAATCAGAGATGACTTTTAAATGTTCATGATTCAGCCTAACAAAGGCTGCCTTAGAGCTTAGGAACTGTAAACAGGTTTGAGTTAAAACCTTAAAAACTTTCAGTTAAAGAAATGGGAACAATAACTACCTCATCCAACAATCCTTGAATGACTGAAAAAAGTCCATCTGATATTTCCGAGACATGGAAAGACACTAAACAAAATATAACCATAAACAAAAATATTTTGCACTGCCTGAAACCTTTTATACACTAAATGCAGCCAAAATGCCGAGGTGGATTTATCTGCGGGTTTGGAGTTTTGGAATGCCATGGATTTCTGAAAGCCCCAGAAGCCCCAGAGGTGCAAGAAGACTTGTGAGTCCAGGAAATGTAACCTTACCTTGAGGAACGAAAGAAGAACTTTGATGAGGGATGGAAAAGTGTCAACTTTTGTCAATAAGCCTTATGGTTGTACATCTGAGATAAGAGTTTACTCTAACTCCTCTTTGCTCAAAGCTGTGACAATACAATATCACATGAAAGGCAGGCATTATGAGCCCATACTGTTGCCCTACTGACCAGAATTTAAGCCAGATTGTTGTGATAGTCTTCTGGGCAGTGCAATCCATGAAATGATGATCAACTCCCCCAAGTCAAGACACTAGAGTATCAACCTCAAGAGGAGTAGACCTTCTGGAAAGGGATAGAGGGTTCCATTCATACATATACTGCTTTAGGATCAGTGATAAAATAGCTAATATTGTTCTTCAAATATTTTTTGACATTCATCAAAAAATGCTTGTAAAATAATGCTGTCTAATGCTGTCAAGCAGAAGTACTAACCACCTAGCCACTGTGCTACCCATGCATTATTCTATTGAATAGAACAGTCCATTTTTATTGATGACTGTGCCCCTGTTAGAGATACTTTCTCAGTTTCTACGGTTACTCTTCATCATTGAAAGTGAAAAAAAATCCCACATTTTTGGTTGACACCGGAATACTAAATGAGGGGAAATATCCCTGATGGGAAACAGATGGCAAAAAAACCCCAAAAAAAACTGATGGGGGTTCTAAACCTCCCAAATTAAAAAAAAAGTTTTGCCTTTAGTTATACTTTTTACTGTAATATTTGGCAAATTAATTACTACTGTATATATTTTACTAAAACTGAACCCCAGAGAATCTGGTGCAACTGTTCATAGTTCATCAACTGTTCATCAGCTTGTTCAAGGAAGCTTTGACAATAACATCTGATAGCCAAATTCTCTGTGCACTAGTTTTAGTAAATCTCCCTCATTGCCATTCTATGATGTTCTTGAAAGTCTCACTCTGCGTATAGCTGCCAAACCTTTTCAAATTGATGACACCCCTTTCCTAACAGCTCAAGTTCCACACCTTTGTAATAATACTTAATTTTAATCTGATTCTGTCTACAAACATTTTTGTCAATGATATCTCCAAACACATTTGTCAAAAATGTAAATATTCCCAGTACATATGACATATGTTCTAACAAGTGATTAGACCATTGTGATATGCATGTTCATTGTATTATATTTGGAGCGATTGGGAGGTTTACGCAGTAAATGATGTATATGCTTGTATATACACAAAAAGTCTCAGACACCCCGGTGAAACGAAAGGAGAAAATAATTATATTTCACTAAATGTAACATTTCTGTGTTTTTATCCATATTTTGGTTTCTATGCATTACTGTTGAGAGATTTCTGATCCAAAAAGGTAGTGACTACTCCAGATTGGCTATTATATTTTTTACATTCCTTCAGTATTGCATGTCTGGACCAGTACTTAAATAAATAAATGCATGCATTAAATATTTCCTTTAGTGAATTGACTTTAACTCTGTTGATGTGGCCTTTACAGAGTGTTTTTTCTTTCTGAGGTAAATACCACATTAAGGGATAGTGAACTGACATTTTCAGTATCGCATGTGATGTTTGGGGAAAATGTGTCATGTGACCTAAAAATTGCATGCTACATATTTAGTGAATGCAGCCCAGATAGTATTAAACTGTTTAGGGAAAAAGAAATGCTTATCCAGTTATTCCTAAGCTTTATAGATAAATCTATCAAATATAGGGCAAAGAAGAAAGCCTTTGCAGTACATTCAGGTTTATGACAACCAAAATTAAAAAACTGTATTAAGGCTACGTTCACACTAGCCTTGTGTGCAGGCGGCAGAGAGGCGTTTGGGAAGCGTTTTTACCGCTTCCCAAACGCCTCTGCCAATTCTGCACATTACAGCACATGGTGCTGTTCTAACGGGAGCGTTTGCGTCGCGTCGCGTTGCGTCGCGGCAAAACGGACGCCTCTGGACGAGTCAGGAGGCTTTGAATCCTCCTATTCTCGTCCATGGTGCCGCTCCGCAAACACCCGGCCGGCGTTTGCGGTGCGGTTGCGACGCGGTTGCGGGGCATTTGCGGAGTGGTAACACCACTCAAACTGCATTATAGGCGTTTGTGGGGCGTTATTAACGCTCGGCAAACGCCTAGCAACCGCCGCTAAACCGCGCATGCGGCGTTTGCGGAGCGTTTGCCGAGCGTTAAAAAACGCTCCGCAAACGCCAGACCAACGCTTGCCAAATGCTATAGGGGCGTTTGGCAAGCGTTGGCAAAAGAGCCTAGTGTGTGAACGAGCCCTAAGAGTAGGCATCCTCTAAATTTAAAGTGGAATGCACAGCCTTGAGTAAAAAAGATACAGTTTTCTACTGGTAATGTGGCACAAAGGCTGACTAAAAAATCCACTGCAGGTGTTCCCTCCTCCTCTACAGATGGAAGAGACTCAGCAACAAGTCCGCTAGGGGATCTTTGATAGACTTTGTTATCTCTTTACCAAAAAAATTTCTAATAATGAGCAACTACTCCTAATAGTCTTAAAGAGGTAGTAAACCATCAACAAAAATTCACAATCCGTGTAGACGGGATATGTTGGACTTGTTTCTGCTTCTACATGTTTCACCATCCCAGTGTCCCGAGGAAGCTTCATGTCACCTTATTGTTGGAGCCTTATATTTATTTTATTCATTACAGGAACTTCTATGGCGCGTCAATTTACGCAGCGCTTTACATATATATATATATATATATATATATATATATATATATATATATATATATATATATATATATATATATATAGTACATTCACATCAGTCCCTAGCCCTCAAGGGGCATACAATCTGAAGTCCCTAACTTTCATTCATACATACACATATTAGGGCCAATTTAGACAGGGTCCAATTAACCTACCAGTATGTATTGTGGTAGGAAACCCATGCAGGCACAGTGAGAACATGCAAACTCCAGGCAGATGGTGCCGTGGTTGGGATTACGAACCAACAATCCTAGTACTACCAGGCTGAAGTGCTAACCACTGTGCCATCCCCATACTAACTTCTAGTTCCTGATTGGTTAATAATTTCTTGGGATACAAAAAAATGGCTCCCGTCCGATATTCGGTTGTCTACAAATATTAGTACATACTAACCAACAAATAGGTACTTGCTGTGTGGAGTACAACACATGTATACATATATATATATATATATATATATATATATATATATATATATACATATGCAATCCTACCATGTTGACTTCATTAAACTTATTATTTATTCCATATCTCCTATTATTTATTCCATAGAAACCAATAGATTAAAAAAAAATCATCATGATCATATATATGTGTGTGTGTGTGTGTATATATATATATATATATATATATATATATATATATATATATATATAAATAAATATGTGTGTTATCAAACCATTACCTAGTTTTAATAAAACACAGGTATTCATAGACCTCACCATTAGCATCTCTATCTAGTGGTCAAAGCTCACATTTATCTTTCCAAGAGCCCCCCTGTCCCAAATCACCCCTCTATGTTGAGGGCACGTGGCCTGGTATGCTTTAGGGCAGGGCGCTCTCTCATCCGCCCCCTTTCCTGACCTGCCTGGCTGCATGCTCAGATAAGGGTCTGGAATGGATTTTGGGGGGGACCCCCACGCCATTTTTTTAAAAAATTTGGTGTGGGGGGTTCCCCTCAAAATCCATACCAGACCTGAAGGGCTTGGTATGGATGGTGGGGGAACGCACACGTTTGAAAAAAAATAAAAAAAATTTGCTGGGCAATGTTATCACTATTAATATGCCTCATGACTTAGTAATATAACTCGTGGTATTTTAGTTGTTGTGCGGTATCTTACTGCATACTCAGATGCGATAAGATACCACTTAGTGAATTGTCCCCTTTGTTTGAAATTCACCGTCGAACTTTCGTTAGGTTCGAATTTTCAACTGCGAACTGATGAGGGGGGGTGTTCGGCTCATCACTACTCCAGAGAACCCGTCTCCACTGCTCTAGAGTCTAGTGGTGGTGTGCATTACAGCACTGCATCCAATGCTTTGCATTGCACTTGGTGTTGTAAGGCTTGGATGTAGCTACTCTATGCACTGTTGTTGTGCTGAATTGAATGCCACATGAAGTTTGGAGGTCTTTAATTATTGCTTCTGAAGACAGTTGGCGACTTCTACGCACTGTGCACTTCAGCATGCACTGATCCCTCTCTGTCATTTTACGCGGCCTACAACTTTGTTGCGGAGTTGCTGTTGTTCCCAGTTGCTTCCACTTTGTTATAATACCACTAACAGTTGACTGTGGAATATTTAGTAGCAAGGAAATTTCATGGATGGACTTATTGCACAGGTAGCAACCTATCACGGTATCACGCTTGAATTCACTGAGCTCCTGAGAGAGACCCATTCTTTCACAAATGTTTGTAGAAGCAGTCTAGCCTACCACTTTGTGGCTGAGTTGCTGTTGTTCCTAGTAGCTTCCACTTTGTTATAATACCACTAACAGTTGACTGTAAAATATTTTTACCATGCTTGAATTCACTGAGCTCCTGAGAGCAACCTATTCTTTCACAAATGTTTGTAGAAGCAGTCTGTCTGCATGCCTAGGTGCTTGATTTTATACACCTGTGGCCATGGAGGTGATTGGAACATCTGAATCCAATGATTTGGAGGGGTGTCCCAATACTTTTGGCAATATAGTTTATCTCTTGGAATTGATTACTATATCCTATAGCTAGCGCCTAGAGTTCAGGTGTTTAGGGCAGGACCTATTGAAGTTTCTGTCTTTTGATATCAGGTGTACAGTGTAAGACCATGTGTTAACTTGTTTTCTGAATATCAGCAATTTAATAGATTATATTTTGAATAACGTGTTTGAACGTATATATTTCCTTTTGTCAGATGCCTCTAGTATAAACTGAAAGAATTTAAAAAGTGCTATGAAGACAGATCCCTTCCTTACACTAGCAACCGATGGATTCTGGCCATTTGTTTTTATTCAGGTAGAATGACGGTCGACCACCCCCTCCTCCTCAAAAAACTACACTCTCTTGGCCTCAGAGACTCCGCTCTCTCCTGGCTCTCTTCCTATCTATCAAGGCACTCCTTCAGTGTTACCTATAATACTGTCACCTCCCCCCTCACTCCCCCTCTCTGTTGGGGTCCCTCAAGGTTCTGTCCTCGGGCCCCTTCTTTTCTCCATCTACACCTCCTCCCTTGGCCAACTGATACACTCTCACGGCTTCAACTACCATCTCTATGCCGACGACAGGCAAATCTATCTCTCTACCCCTCGCCTCACCCCTTAAGTCTCCGCCCGAATCACTAGCCTACTGAACGACATATCGGATTGGATGTCACTTCACTTCCTCAAACTGAACCTTTCCAAAACCAAGCTCCTAGTTTTCCCCCCCAGCCCGCGCCCCCGACCCCCCCCTGACTTCTCCATCACGACCAACACTGCCACCATCAGTCCCACCCCGCAAGCCAGAGTACTAGGTGTCATCCTAGACTCCAATCTGTCCTTCCAGCCCCAGGTCCAATCGCTGACAAACTCATGTAGACTCCACCTCCACAACATCTCCAAAATACGTCCGTTCCTAACCCCGGAAACTACTAAGCAAATCATTCACTCCCTTAACATATCACGACTTGACTACTGTAACTCCCTCCTCGCCGGCCTACCTCACCACAGTCTATCCCCGCTTCAGTCTATCCTGAATACTGCTGCCAGACTCATCCACCTTACTAACTGCTCCGTATCCACCCCCCCCTCTGCCAATCCCTCCACTGGCTTCCGATTGCCCAACGGATACGTACAAAGCTGTCCATAACACTGCCCCAAACGACATCACTGACCTGATATCCAAATACCACCCAAAACATACTCTCCGCTCCTCACAAGACCTCCTACTCTCCAGTTCCCTGGTCTCCTCCTCCCATGCCCATCTCCAGGACTTCTCCAGGGCTTCCCCCATCCTCTGGAACTCCCTACCCCAATCCACCAGACTATCACCTACTCTCCTCTCCTTTAGGCGCACCCTGAAAACCCACCTCTTCAGGGAAGCCTACCCCGCCCTCAGCTAATTGCCAATCTTCTCCACTCTTCCTACCACTCCATCCCCCACAGCTATTCCTCCCGTTCCAATATCCCCTCCCTCCTAGATTGTAAGCTCCAAGGAGCAGGGCCCTCGAACCCCTCGTGTATCGCATTGTATTGTTATTGTACTGTTTCGTGTATTGTCTCCCATTGTAATGTACAGCGCTGAGCAAACTGTTGGCACTATATAAATACTGTATAATATTAATAATAATAATATTGTTTACTGAATGATAATTTTGAAAACTATGGAGACTCTTTCACTGCTGTTGACCCCCCCCTCTGGACACTGTTCCAAGGCTGCTTTTCCTTGCTCTGTTATGGCATGTGGTGGATGGCTGGCCCTTGGGTCATTATGGTATTCATAATTATGACACATGTATGAGTATACCCCTTTTTTCTTTAGATCAATTCTGATTGAATACTAGACTGGCAGCTCCTGAAGAAGTGGAGTATTCCATGAAACACGTTGGGCCACAGAAGTACAGCATATATGTATACTATTTTTATATAAAATATTTTGGTGAAACCAATGAATAAGATAGTATTATGGATTGATTTTATGAACTATTGTATGTTTATATTAGTAGGTTTTATATTTAATTGAATAAATAAAGTATAATTTTTATTAGCTGTCCCTCAGAAATCCCATCCCAAAATGAGATAAAGGTGACCAAAATTATGATACAGCTTTCATTACAGGATTTAATGTCCAAGGGACATTAAATGGGAAGTTGAGAAAAAGTATAAAAAATACTGGCCAATATTACCAAGAGATCAATCCTTTAAAAAGATGCTACCCAAGCAACCAAATTTCATTTACAGAAGGAACCCGGGATTAAGGAATATGATAGATCGGAATGTGGTGGCTCCTCCCAAGAGAAAGGAATTCTGTTCATCAGTAAGAAAAAAATATGATATAAAAATCTATTACTCATGACAGTAAATATGTCATGTCCTTGCGGACTGAAATATATAGGCCGCACAACAGGAAAGTTGTCCAAGCAAATTAGTGAGCACATCACAAATATAAAAAATGGTTTAAAAAAATACAGCGTATCTAACCACTTTAGGATGGTACATAATAAAATAATAAGGACCCAACCTTACTTTCCTTTCATGGCATAGATAAGGTAACAAAATACTGAAGTTTTAGTGATTTCTGTAAATAAAAAAAAAAAAAAAAATTAAACTAAGTGGATATATGAGCTAACACCTTAACCCCACAATGGTTAATACAGATATTGATTTAAATTGCTTTTTTAGCAATTTTTAATTAGTCATAAAATATAGAAATCATGTATATGAACACACAAATATGAATTTTGACCACTAGATAGAACCGCTAATGGTGAGGTCTATGAATACCTGCCTTATATTAAAATTCAGTAATGATTTGATAACATATGATACTAACTATATATGACCATGAAGATTTTTTGTAATATATTGATTTCTATGGAATAAATCATAGGAGATATACGTTTAATAAATTGAACATGGTAGGATTTTACGCATATACTGTATATTTTTGTATATATATGTTTGTATTGATTTTGTTATAGATTTTATGTTGTTTTTGTTAATATATTGGTTTATTTGTAAATCTTGGCATAAATCCACACAACAAATAGCTATTTGTTGGTTAGTTTGTACAGGATAGTATTAGTAGAGAACCAAATATTGGATGGGAGTCATTTTTTTGTATACCAAGAAATGATTAACCAATCAGGAACTAGAAGTTAGTATATATGGTGACTTGGAGCTTCCTGAGGATGCCATGACAGCTGTGTGTATTAGTGCCAAAGTATTGGGCACCAGCGAAAGTGAGCACTTATTGTACATATTGAGTGCTTTTATCCATTTAAATAAATACTACACTACAAAGATATTGGTCTTCTGGTGCATATCGTTTATGTTTTGAGGGAGAGTTGCATAACATATTGCAGATCCACAAAAAGAAATGGGACCAGCTGTTAATCCACCTGGGAATTGTGTCTGGATCCTGGGGCAATATCGCTTATGACTTTCCTTTTCAAGAGTGGGACATGTGGTGGAGCACTGATGTAATGAGTAGAAAAAAGAGGAGCATTAAGCATTTGTACATGGCACTAGAATGATTCACACAGTGGTGTGGGACTTTTTTTCTGATATTAGACTTTTGATGTGAATAAGGACTGAAATGTAGTATCACATAGTTTATAATTTGGTGTTATTGAGATCACATTTGGAGCGTGCGAGTGCCAGACTTTGATAGTATATTTGTTATCTTTTTACCAGAGGCCAAAGGTGAAAAGATTGTGAGCATTTTTTTTCCTTTTGTATTCAGTAGGTGTGATGGGTTTCTCTTAAAAGAGACAAAAACCCTTTCATAACAGAAGAAAAATCATTAGTGAGATAGGGAGAGGAAGAAATGCTCTGTAAGGATGCAGAAGTAACCGTTGATAAAGGGTTTTCAGACTTGCTAGAAACAAATGCTGTACAATCCTTTCCTGAGCCATTTTTGTCCTGATATACATTGCAGACATTGTCAGGAATGGGTGAATTGTTCACAGCCGCAGCACAATTGTCCTTTCATTTGGAAACAGCTTTGTTGCCAACAGCAAAAAACAGAAATGCTCATTTTAGAAGGCATGATCAATCCCCTCGTGAATACTCATGGACCCAGACTGGTGTTTTTAGGGGTTAAACAGGAGAGGAACAGTGACAAAAGTCGCTAGATGCAGCGGTGAGTAGAAAAGTGGAGACTGTCCAACTGAAAACTCTAGATTCTAGCAGCTGTCAATCCCTCTGATGTACAGCCACCCCACAACCATAGTAGGAGAAACAATTGAGCATATAAAGTGGCTGGCAAGTCCGTGATACTTTAAATTTGCTTAAAACACCATAACATATGATACAATTTGCACTTAACATACAATTTTCAGGACAAGCTTTTGGGGTATGTTCCCTTCTTCAAGGTCCAAGCAGTACTCCTTGGACCTTGAAGAAGGGGACATACCCCAAAAGCTTGTCCTGAAAATTGTATGTCAGTGCAAATGAAAAAAGTATCATGGACAGTGCTCGATTGTTTCTGTCGCAAGTGCACAAATATGGCTACAATCACCTCGTAGCAAGAAAGAAAGTCCCATCTGCAGTGTAAACAGCTGAGCCATGCAGACAAACTATACTGGTAATAAGCGCAATACACTGTCCAGCTGTAATTGCTCAGTATGCCTAGGTTCACACTATGAATCGCACAGGAAGAGCACAAGAAGCACACCGCATTCCTGTGCAATTTATATGTGATTCAATGCATCACACAAAAGTAGTGCATGTACCAATTATAGAGAGGCACTGCAACTGCATCATATGGTCATTTTGGACCATGCAATCTGGGGCAGGTAAACACACTGCGTTTTGCAACCTGCTTTGTGGTGTCATTGACACTGACACCTACTGCAGAATGCAAGGGCAGTGAGATTCAAATGCAGTGAGGCAAATGCACATGTTTTGTGGGTTCCCCACACCATGTTCTAGTGTGAACTGAGGCTAAATAAAAAAAGGGAAATAAGACCCAGTGCTCTGCACAATTTTCAGCAATTCGTATAGCTCTAAGCCCTGGTTCAAACCAGCGAGCCT